GAAATTGTTTGGACAGTATCCAAATTGCTCTGGCATCAAAATGCCCCAGTTTTGATGTTATTATATCAAAAATGAAACATTCTCCAGACCTAAAAAAGTTAAAAATTTTCAAAGAAATTTTTTTGTTTCATAATGAGAATATTGATTTATTTTGTCGAATTTATTTTATACCATTTATATTTATAATTGTATTCTCCTTATAAACAGATTCAATAAATCTTTTGAATTTAAATAGTCGATAACTTTCTCCCATTCAAATCAAGTGTGTAACGTCGGCATAAATAAATATATTTTGGGGTAATAGGTGAAAGTTCCCTGACCCCTGCCTTAGAGCAAGTGTTGTAATGCTGTGAATACAACAGAGATCACAAACCTATGGACAATGCTTCTGCTAACGATGGCGTAAGTGACCACGTACGCACGTTTTCTGAAGATGACTTTTAAATTTTGCTTGGCAATGAAACTTTCGAGGAAAACTGGCTTTAATAAGGCAGAAGAATCTATTGTAGACGGGAAGGTCGGTCGCTGTAAAGGTTTAAGTCTTAACTTGTGCTAAGCTGGTAGTTGCGAAATATTTCAACAGTTTTGTAAATTTCTTCCAAAAGGAATTTTTCGGTATTGCAAAATGGACTACCTTCTGCCTTGTACACATTACTTTTGTATAACGCGTGGATTAACTGTTTGAATTAATAGTTCACTAGTTACGAAGCCGCACTGCCTTAAATCAAAATACACAGCGAGGATACGTTCTACTAGGTTCTACTTTTTGGTGAACTGGTCTTTTCTTGACTTACCCTACCAAAATCATTCAAAATGCGCCAGGAACAGTCATAACACCGGCACTAAAACGCAGCTCGTCATTTAAAAAAGACGAGGACAACTAAGCCAGGTTTGACTCTACCCACAAGTGGCTCGTCACCTTGAGATGCAACATCATTTCGGGTATGGTTCTGGATTCAAGTGTGGTTGAGTCTCACTGAATTTGAACTGAACTATTTAAATAAAGAATAAAAATCTATTTGAATAGGTTAGTTGTATTAATTGAAAAACAATTCCTAAATAACCTCCAAAGCTATACTTCTGTTACTTCCTAGTGTAAGATTTCCATCTCTTGTACCACCGCAGTATCGGTATAAAGTATGAAATGAATTTTTCTTTCTTTACACGGAACGTTATCGCCTTCTCGATGCGGTATCGATATGTTTTAAGAAAAGTTTATTTAAACTAATATCTGTAAACTTTAACCCAAGACCAGTGCTATTTGCTCTTGGAAATTTCCTTTTAAGGAGAATCGTCTACGTTGAGAAGCATTACGGTCACATTATAAAACAAGGTAATCAGTAAAAAGTATATTCGTTGTACCATCAGTGCCAATACCAACTGCCGTTTGATGGAACTGTCAGATGAGGAAAGGTTGTTTCCAACTAGTTCACAAAAATTGCTGCAACTAATAATCTAAACGATACTTTCACCAGAATCGCTTCAACTTACGGTTAGTCACACTGAAGTGGCGTTATCCACAAACCAGCAAGTGGCGTCATCCACAAACAGACTGTAACGACGAATATCCTGCCTTACATTTCTACTCGACCTTCAGAGTTAGACGGAATTTTTCCTTTTCCATATTATCGTGCAGAACAAAGAAGTTGATGATAGCAAGGATGCACCAGTTTCTACTGCTAGATTTCTGAAGTAAAAAGTTTGCAAATGAAATTAAAGCAGCAGCCGCTGAGCGTCATCCTAGATGCATTCACCAGCTTGACTATTTAGCTAGATTCTACCTTCCATTTGTCGGATGTAGTAAACCATTTGAAGGATCAAGTCGCGCTTTTCTGTATGGATACTACTGTAAAGCGTCATGACGTGGAAGTTTATTAGGATACCGGTGTTTCTGACGGTCGACTTCTTCCGCCCACTTTTTGATTCACACCGAAACTGAAACAACTGTTCCGCGTCATCCTAAACAGTTCCACTAGCTTGTCGACAGCATCTTCAATAACGAAGGTCATGTCTTCCATCTGCTGAGTATTGACTATTGGAAAAGATCCAGAGATATTTGTCCCTATCTGTATTATCATCATACAGTCATGCAGCAAAGCTGCAGTTCATAGCAGCATATTTTTAACAGGAAAAACTTTAACATATTCACAACCGATTCGCTAGCTGGCGTACTCGCCAACAAACACCGCCCTTCATTTATCAGATATAGACGTTCAAACACGTGAAAGGATTCAAATGAGTTTTTCTCTACCGATTAACAAATGATAATGATACAAATACGACATGAAAGGTAGCAAGGCTGCTGGAATTCGTAACGATATATTTCTTAAGTTTACTTATTAATTCTCGCTGAAACTGAAACAGTTGTTTAGCGTTTTCGTAGCACATTCTATAGCGTATCCGAACGTTTACTCTTCAGCAGCGAAGGTTTGTCTGTTTTCCAGGTCTTAAATGTCTTCAACGTTCTCAAGGAATGTTCCCATACCGATATGATCATGCAAGACAGGACATCGAAGGTGGTAGCATTCTGAAATTCGCTCCTTAATGTCTAAGATTTGATACGATGATTAGTATTACCCTGAAAACATGGTTATCAACTACAGTAAACATAAACTTGTAGACTGAGAACACGCCGTCCTCGGCGTATAAGATTAAGGAAACGGCATATATAGTCTTCTTTAGATGACTGAAATAATAATTTAACCTTTGATTCACGTCTGTTGGTCTGCCTGTTATCTTACTGTTGTGTTACCCGCTAGAAACCAGTCGGAGTATTTCAGATA